GCCCCAACATGATAAGTAGTCCCTGAATAAGAGTAGCATTACTAAAAATTAACAAGACTATCATCAGTACTCTTATTCAGGTCTTGATACTTTCTAATCACAATGCAGAAGAATAGAGAATACACATATAAATATTATTCTAATGTTTTCTTTAAATGTAGCAAATTTTGTATGAAGCTAGGGCAATGTGTGGTTTAAACAATAACAGCTGTTTTATGACTTTTTAAACATTGTTCTGCTCCAGGAAATTTAGCTAAGAAAACAACTCCGATGGTGCCCTGACTCCCATTTGCATTTCCTGCTAAGCCAGCGAAGTCCAGAGAGGCTGAATCCTATCACAATGTCAGTGTTTGGCACCACCAAGTAATTCACTCACCGAGGCAAAGGAAAAAGGAATTCTCAGGAAACACTTATTTTGTTTCCCTCACCACGCAGGGTGGGGCACAGATGCTCTGGACCCCTGCCTCTACTGCTCTGGCTGCCTTTGGATATAGATCTGAAACATCCAAATTCAAGAGAGCCCTGCTTTTTAAGGAACAACAAAGAGAGGGAACCCCAACAAATAAATCCTATGAATAAGAGAATTATAAATAATGGCATAATATAAATCTGAATAAAATAAGGAACCAGAGTGCAAACAATCAGTTTTTCCCCCAAGTCCCTGAGGTCTGGGAAAATTATTATTGTAAGACTGTTAAGTATATGTGTGTGCGGGGGGAGTGTTTTGTGTGTTTGCATATTCACAATCTTGCAATACAACAAATATGGGAAAACAATTATTCTAGTATATAAGGAAAAAATAGACAATTTTTACAAAATAACTATACTGGTGGAAATAATGGTATTTAATTGATTAGTTTTGAAATGCATTTCATGGATGAGTAGGACCTCTGGTGTTAAACTAGAGAAAGTTCACAACTTATATATCTTACTGGCAGAAAGAGAAGCAAATGTAATTTTCCAAAAACTTATCATTGGAGGTTGTGGGCCCTTGTTTTGTGACCTTTCCTTCAACACTTCATTTTCTCCCTCTCTCCTTGCCTCCTCACTCTCACAAGTATAAATGAGTGCTACTATGTGCTAGGCACTATCCACATGAAAGAATATTGTCTTTGTTGTTCTGATTACTTAACTTTACATATTACATGTATTTCTGCAATCCTATATGGGGGGAAAAGCAAGATTACAGTATACATATAGTATACATATTTTAAATGTTTCTATCTTAGCTTAAAATTCATTTGTTAATTTTATAAAGACAAAAAGAATGATGAAAACAAGAACCTCTTAAGTGTGTCCCATGTCATAACCCAATAGTGTAAGATGCCTCAAACAAAAGTCAGGAGGATTCAGACAAAAAAAACAATGAAACATAAAATTGCTAGGACATCTTTTTTAAAAAAATATTTTTATTGATTCCAGAAAGGAAGGAAGAGGGAGACAGAAAAAGAGAAAGATCAATGATGAAAGAGAATCATTGATCGGCAGCCTCCTGCATGCCCCACACTGGGGATTGAGCTTGCAACCTGGGTATATGCCCTAACCAGGAATTGATCCATGACCTTCTGGTTCATAGTTCGACACCCAACCACTGAGCCACGCTGGCTCGGCTGCTGGGACATCTTGTGATTTTTCATCATCGTATACTAATAGAGGGTTATCAAACTCCCCAAATGCAGACATCTATTAGCAAGATGATTTTTTGAGTGTGATCAGATGAATTTTGAAAACAGAAAGATAAATATCTGATGGACTTTTCTCCCCCTCCAATCACAGAGGGTTTCACAATATTACTTCATGAGCTTTTTAAAAACATTGACTAGGTGGGAGCATTGTTAATCTGAGTTTTGCTATTCTGACAGTTCCTCAAGCTGTGGTGCAAATCTCTATTTCTTCCTTACCTTGTGCATCCCATCCTTCCCCTGAGCCCCCTTTGTGAGCAGTGGGAATCCCACACATAATGCCATGAATGTCAGTAAACACTCTTTGTTTCTACATGATTAATGGCATTGCACCTAGTGCCATACTAAGGCATGGAAATATACATGGAAAATGATACAAGATTTTTCTCTATTATTTTGTTTATGGAACCTCTTTGAAAGCCTTGGCTTTGCTAATTAAGAAAGTCAGTTCAACACAGAGGGTGCAGCCATTACCTTTCTTAGAATATTTTGTTAACTCTAGAAACATATCTAATGTAATACTGGTAACAATATTTACATATTTTTGGGGTGGTCTATGTAATTTTCCATCTAAATTTATGAAAAGCTAATTAATTTTCATGAAAACATTTCTTTGAAGTATTTAGATTTGTAAGAATAAATCAAACTTCTTCAATCAGCATCATAGAGCAATTAGAAGGCAGCTGTATAATTTGTTACAAAGTGAAAATAAATGTGATGAATATTGTGCTTGAGTTGGACTTTGTTTCACACCAGGTGAATAACTTTTATTTAGAAGTTTTCCTTGTAATTCCAAATTATTCATTAGAATTGTTTCTTTTCTTTTTCCTTTTTAAGAATTGTTTTTAATAGTCATTCTCACCACACAATTCATACTCAGCCACCCCAAAAATACAATGAGCTTCCTAATTCCAAACAAGTTCTCTTAAACTGCCAAAAATCCTAATAGATTATTAAAATGAAACGCTGTCTCCAATTTTTAGCCGTACAAATTCTATTCGTGACTATTGAGAAATGCAAGTTCTGACACTATTCATTATGTCAAAGTTGAGGACTGTGGAACTAAAAGCAATCCCCCCCCACCCCTTTCTTCTGGATGTTTTTACTTGCCCTTACAAAAAATTAAAATTGTTTAGGCCATGTCCAAAGGATACCCTAAAATGAATTATTCACTCCATGGCACTGAACACACACACACACACACTTGAGCTGGCACGCGGTAAGCAACTTCAGGGCAGGTGCAGTGCGAGTAGAATATCAGGAAATTGAATCCAGCTGAGAATTCCAATTACCTAATGAGGGTGATCTGCTTTCACTCTAATTTCTTGGTGTATCCAATTCATTATCATCTCTAGCATAAAAATCATGCTTTAAAATCACACTTAAAAAAATGGAAATAAATATTCATCTGGCCGAGTTCTTTCATTTGGGTGGAGACGGAAATTTCAAGTTACAAAGAAATACAAACGATACAGACTTAAGATGGAGCAGTAACAAAGAATCCTCGAAAGGGTCCGCCACTGCTTTGTTCTGGTACACTGCTTAAGAGAAGGACACATCACAGGGAATTTGTGAAACACAAAATGCAATTTTTATTGGCCGACAGGGGGAGGGGGGTAAAATAATTATACCTAGCTCTAGCAACAATCCAGCACTGTCCTCGGGCAGCTCTTATTCAGCCCGAATTATCATTATTAGTAATTTCCAGCCAGGCTCTGACTCCCGGCGTGAATCAGCCGCGCCAGGCCCCTCTCTCGCCCGCCGCAGCGGTCCGGGCTTGGCACGGAAGATGCTCGGTGTTTGCGCATCGGTGACCCGCCTTTGCTTTGTGTCTGTGCTGCAGGTGGGGAGGAGGAAGAGGAACCGAGGAGGAGCTGGCGGCCGGCGGTCGCTGAGCATCCTCCCAGACCCTCGAGCAAGCCCCCTTTCCACGGCTGAAGAAACCCACGGACCTACCCACCGGGGTGGCCAGAGGGCCTGAGCGCGAGAGCCCGGTCCCGGCGGTCGGGGGCGCCAGCCCCTCATGTTCCGCAGAAGGCGCAAATGTGAGCAGGCGGCAGCGGGGAAAGCCCTCCGCCCCCGCCAGGGGGACCCGGGAAGCCCGTGCGGGCTCCTCCCGCGGATGGCGGGGATCCCCCTCTCCGGCCCCGCCCCCATCCTCCTCGGGCCCATGTGTCAGACGGTTAACCCTACCCGCGCCGCAGAACGCTAGGGCGAGAGCTCGGCGCAACCAATCCCGACTCCCGGGCACGGGCACCGCGCGGCCGGGAAAGATCCGCGCTGATTTTAAGGGCAAACCTAGGCTCGGGCCCCGTGGTTCTTCCCGAGCCCTCGTGTAGCCAGTCGCCAAACTTTCTCTCTCCAAAGTGGGCCCCCCACAGTTGTCTGGCTGGCAGCCGAAGCCCACTCTCTGCAGGCCAATTGGGGAGAGGTGGGTGTGGAGCGGGGGGCTGCTGATCTGCAGCCTTCTGAGGCGTGCCTGGGGGCGGAGGAGCGGCCGGCTCCGCACTGTCCCTGCGCCTGACCCTTTGCCGGGTGGCCCAACGTGCTGCAGTACCCGGCGCAGGTGATCTAGACTGCACGTCCGGCAGTAGTTAGGTGGGGGAGAGGGGGGCGCGACACGGAAGGAAGGGAGGGGCACCCCTTTCTTTTCTCCTATCCCTGCAGCCTGGCTGCACTGCCTGGGGGCTCCCCATCCTTAGCGGTGCTCACAGGCGCTCCCAATCGGCAGGTGGAATCCTCGCCCTCACCTTGTCCTGCGCACCCTTGGATTTTCACCCTGCAGATCCCTCTCCCTATTTTCCCTCTCTCACACACACGCTCCCCTGAGCCGCGCGCCGCAAACTCAGTCTTGGTCCCCGCAGGTGATGTCATGCCCATTGTTTTGGTGCGCCCGACCAATCGGACTCGCCGCCTGGATTCTACCGGAGCCGGCATGGGCCCTTCCTCGCACCAGCAGCAGGAGTCCCCGCTCCCGACCATAACGCATTGCGCAGGGTGCACCACCGCCTGGTCTCCCTGCAGCTTTAATAGCCCTGACATGGAAACCCCATTGCAGTTTCAGCGCGGCTTCTTCTCAGAGCAGCCGCCGCCGCCGCGCTCCTCCTGCATTGC